GAGATGAAAGCTAGGAAATTATTGAAAAGACTACACTGACGAGCAAAAGTTAAAATATACAAAAAAGGGACTCTACTGACGAGCAAAAGTTAGAAAATTAATAAAAGGACTCTACTGACAAGCTAAAGCTAAAATATACAAAAAAGGAACTCTACTGACGAGCAAGAGCAAGAAAATTAATAAAAGGACTCTACTGACGAGCAAAAGTTAAAATATACAAAAAAGTAATTATACTGACGAGCTAAAGTTAAAATATACAAAAAAGGAACTCTACTGACGAGCAAACTTAATCTAGAATATTAAATAAAAGGACTATTGACGAGATAAAGCTAAAATATACAAAAAGAGACTCTACTGACGAGCAAAGGATAGAGAATTAATAAAAGGACTATACTGACAAGCTAAAGCTAAAACTAGTGGGGTGGGTGGCATCGTGCCTTAAGGCAAATTGCTGGAACTTCCCGTACCGTAACGAAATGTTCGAGGAATACTGAATGTTTTCAAATAGTTTATTATAAATATTGTAACATTGTCTAATATTTATAAATATTATATAAACTTAATTGCAGAGTTGAAATTATTTGTTTGAAGTATATTAGAACTATAGTCAGAATTAAAAATAAAATCGGAATTATTTTCGATATACAAAACATTTTTTTTTTTTAAAAAAAGAAAAAAAAAATGAATTTTTTTTCCAAAATCAATTATTTTGTTAAGACAAGCAGAAAGTTTTTTGAATCAATTAAATCGGACGCTTAGTTCTCTCAAAAACTGCCATTTGCAAAAAACTAATAACCACTTCTCCCAATCATTACTAATTGAATGTTTTTTAGATCATTCAAATCGGATGCTCCGTTCTCTCAAAAACTCGATTTCTATTTTCTGCACTCTTTGCTCTTTATCTCCGTAACTGCTGGACCTGCCTTTGCCAAAAACTAATCAGCACATCTCCCTATCAATAGGAATCGAATGTTTTTTGAACCATTCAAATCGGTTGATCCGTACGCCCGAAAACGTGGGCGAAAAATTGTATCTATACATACACACACCACACACACACATCCATTTTTTCTGCAGTATGCCAAAATGTTCAGAAACCTTCAAAACGTCGAGAAATGTAAAAATTTTCAATTCCGATTTTCGGCCCATTACAATAACTTACCCTACGGGAAGTTAATATACAAAAAAGGGACTCTACTGACGAGCAAGAGCTAGAAAATTAATAAAAGGACTCTACTTACGAGCTAAAGCTAAAATATACAAAAAAGCAACTCTACTGACGAGCAAACTTAATCTAGAATTAAAAAAAGGGACTCTACTGACGAGCAAACCAATCTAGAATTAATAAAAGGACTCTACTAACGAGCAAAAGCTAAAATTATATAAAAGAGGACTTTACTGACGAGCAGACGAGTATTTCAGTTTGTTCGTCAGTTCATATAATGCAAAATATAGTTTGCTTGTCAGTAGAGTCCTTTTTATTTTCATGTCTGGTGAAATACAGTTGATGATGAAAAATACTAAATACAAAAATTCTAAAAATGACCTAGGATAAGCACAGTCTAAGTGCCATCTGGTACAAATGTTCATCCGAGTGCGTTTAGACTATTTATGTACTGGAGCACTTGTCCAATTTTGTGTTAAAAACTATTGAAAAATGTGAAAATGCCGCCAAGCTGAGCACAGTATAAGTGTAAATGTCGCACAGAATTATTTGCAAATGCGTTTAGACTGTGACTATACAGGAGCACTTTTTCAATTTTGTGTAAATTTGGCAACTATTTCTTTTTCAAATTAAATTCGAAATGAAATGGCGATTGTTATGTTCTCAGATGTAACAAGATAGCAAAAATAATGAAAGTTACAGTATTTGTAATACCACGTTTAAAATTTCTCGAATATTTCATTACGGTACCAGCAATTTGCGTTAAGGCACGATGCCATATACACCACTAGTTTTCTTATTACCTTTATACACGGTGCAGCCTTCGGTTCCCTCGCATTCGAATGCAAAGGCAGTAGCGGCAGATGCGACCCAACCGACGGCATAATGAAATCCGGCGGCGTACAATCAACTACACTTTCCTGCCTCGCCCTCTTCTTCTCCAAAATATCGCCTTGGGTGATGGCGTTAAGGAAGCACAAGGAACTGCATTCTGTCCCATTGTAGGCGTCCGATGAATCTGCACTCTTTAGTAAATCCCGCACGTGTCTGACATGAATGCGAGCCTCCCGCATTGTGTAGGGCTCCTCGACGACCCTTATGACGGATCGCTCTTTCAGCCCTTCGATGTTCTTGAGCTCTGCAAAATTGTCAAGGGTGTTTCCATCGAGCTGCAGGGAGAAGCAGGTTCGATGACATGTGTCTTCGCGGTCCATCAGCAACCTGGGGGGTAAAGGATATATTTAAAATTTGTGTTAACGTAAATGTACACTATTCCGGGATAGTACATTATTACGGGAGTTTTTCGTTTTGATTATAAGAAAGATCAAAAGAAGAAAATGGTCAATAAATAATAATTTTATTCAATAGCACATCAATTATAATTTGAATCCTAATAAAATAGTGAAATTTTCAAATTTAAATATTAGTTTTTAAAGCCCCAAAAAGCTTTTGAAAGCAGTCGTAACCCAATCGCCGTTTCGTGCTGGCTTGTTACCTTGTTAGCGAGTTAGGTTATGCGACGGTTCCATTGCTTAAGGGGCACAACTAGTGTAACCGCCTAAAAAAATGTGATTTTTGGAAATTTATATTAAAAAAAACTACTTTAGCAATCATTTCAAAACTTTAGGAATATATTTATACATGTTTTA